TTCCAAGAAACTGGCTCTAAATTTATTTTGCAAGAAATTATATTGAGCGGACATTATCCAATGAAACGAGCTCTTCAATGAAACCGGGTAGTAGTAAAGATTTATCAAGATCATTAGGTCTTTTCACAGATTGACACCGACACATTAGATTAGACTTGATTGTTAAGTATTTTCACAGCTGTACGCTAATGAAAATATATCGCGGATTAGAAAACAAATACCAACACAAATATACTTTAATTTCTTATTTAAACTCCAATAACGGGTTGTTTGCTTTCACACTAGGCCTATGTACAAAAAAAAAACCTGGAATTTAAAGTAGTCATCTAAATATAAGCATTATTAACTGATCGAGTCTATCATTTTCAAAAATCAAACTATAAGTCTAAATATTAGCATTACCGGCTTATAAATCTCAACTTTCTGTATTGTCGTACTAGAATAAGTAGCATTAATTCGCTTCTTAGATGTTGTCAACACGACAGACGCATATTTGACCACGACCCTCCTTCAAGAATTACCAACTAAGTCGAAACTATGCATCAAATCATCTTCGCATCATCATCAGATAGTCCTGTATGTGTCAATGTCGCAAGTTTACAATGGACACTAACGTATTGACACAGTGTCAAACGCCTGTGTAATTAATCCCAACAATTATTGCTATATTAATCATTCCTGAGCTTTATTGAAAAAAAAACACGGTTGTATAAAAACTACAGGCAATCGTAAATTGAAGTGGGACACATGCCTGTGGTCTTTAAAAATGAAATCGCTATTACCATCTTTAAATTGAAAATAAACAAGTAGCACTATCTAAGAAACACGTGCACCCGATTCAACTAAAGTTAGCGAATTATCGGGACTGCACAGAGGTTTTCTAGCCTTTTTTTTTATGTTTATTGGGGACACCTTTGACTTCTATTGGGGACATTCCAATTTTTCGTCCGATGCCCGTGGTTCTTGCAATCCCAAAAGAGTTAACCGCAGATGAAGCAGCTCTGACCAACCTACCAACAGACCACAATAACATATCATAATATGTTACCTCCCCTTACAAGATGGCGGCATTTCTAACTAAAAATTGCAGACTCGTTCACATTTTGCTTCACCATTGCATTAAAATACTCCTTAGAACGTCTTATATTGTTTAGATTTAACGAAATGGAAAAGTTGTATGATATTAAATGAAAATCAGAGCGCTTAATATCCTTATTTATGATAAAATGACCGGTTTGAAATCGACGTCATTGAATCTGGTTTGTTCACAGTACTAAATCCCGAGGAGCATTAGGCCTACACAAGGTTTACACTGAAACTGAAAGTTTTTGCAACACTCTTTTTCATTGGTTGTTTTGAATTAACCAGTGTAATTTATTGCGATACTTATTGTATCATATTCTTTTTTATATGTATCGACATCGTATATTGACATGACTAGCAATATCAAGCACTAGGCTACAGAATACTTCTCTTTAGTTCATTTGTCACAAATTTCTATAGATATATTTAGGGTTATTGCTCTTGATTTGATAGGCTTTGATTCGTTAGAAATATTGTCATTAGAACAACACTTTGGTAGAAAATTTATTAGATTACAATGAACATATTTTGGTCTTTGTTTAGTCAAAGGCTACAGTAGCAAGTGTATTTTTAGAATTTAGAATGACTATTTTTATAAAAAAAAAAAACTAGACAAGCCTTATAACTTTCTCTTCATTGGCTTAATCAGATGCTAAAAATTAAAATGTAAAATAGTTTATTAATTTTATAGAGACTGGTAGAAGATTTAGATCTGACAGAGAGAGAGACTCTATTGGAAAATGCCATGACTTCATAATGATAGAATGAAAAGATTAAGTTAAAGGTAACATTACTTTGTGAAATTATCTTGAAATTTACATACTTACCCGATTGATCAATGTCTTTTTGTTTGTCCTGATAAGGGTTGTGCTATCAACATAAGATAAACATTTTTGCTAATTTTAAACATATCCCACCAGTATATTATCTTTTCTTACTTCTCAAGAAAGTCAATATTGATGTAAAATAAAAGTATATATTTTAGTGTGGTGAGAAAATATTTTAAATGATGATAATGCAAAAACCAACATAAATCAATATAAACTCATATTTTGATTGTTTTTATACGCTCACATGGAAATGTAGAAGTATATCGCTGTTACCCCTGTTGGTCAGTCACTTGTATGCCAGTTTTTATCTGATCTTGATGAAACTTGGTATACATGTATATAATCGGATGAACAGTGGCTGATTCTTACTGTAACAAAAAGGTCTGGCACTGCTATGGGATCGCCTTTTGCTGTGGCATACGCCAACATTTTCGTGTCATTTTGGATAAAAAAAAGTTTTGGTATCCTTTACCAAATAAACTGACATTCATTCTTGAACATAATTCTATGAAACTGTACCAACTTCCTGACTCGACTTAATAATCGACATCCTGCAGTCATAAATGTTTCCTTCCTGAAACTAATAGGCAGTTCCAGCTACACCCTGACACGCCAGGATGAAACTAAACTTGCGAAACAGTGTGATTTTTCTTTTAATTCTATCAAATAAAGATATTGAGAATGTGGATATGGTAATATTAATACAAAATCTTCCTGTATCTTCAAACATTTCTGTCACTTCTGTCACATTCCATGATATTTTTTTAACAATTTACTGTCATATCTTAAAGATGGATTCTCTTATTTTCATTTGAAAAAATGAAAATGCTAATACTTATATGAATAGAAAGTAGAGGTGCTCTAATGAAAAATACCAGTTTGTCTCACATGTCTATAATTAATTCATAATTAGCTAAATTAGAAGAGAATTACCAGCAGAATTCCTATGAGTGACCGATCAAGACAGGTGAAAAAGTCCTTTTTTTTGTTTATCCAGACTACATACATGGACATTTATGATTGGTAAAAACTCTTAATTATATGCCATAAGAACATAATGATATGATTAAAAATACATGATAATGCACAAGAAACACAAATTTATCAAATAGTTTTCTAAAAAATAAGGAAACCCTTCTTTAATGGTATTTCCTAGTAATCAATTTAAGATTTAGATACATTTCCTAAATCTACAGACACCCTTCACTACTTAACACTAACAGTTGTCATCGTTAACACATTTTTCATTCCATACCATAGTGATACAGTTGTATCAAAAGAATTTGCAGTAAGCCTGAGTGGACTATAGCCAATGTTAAGAAATTCTTAAATACATGTATTGATGAGATCGAAGTCAAGTTTAAAATTGGTAACAATCGGATGAACCGTTTCCAAGTTACTGCCCTTGACTTAGTAAAAATATGTCAAATTTGGCTTGTAGGCACATTAAAGACTACAGTCTTTAACCAATCTTAATGAATCTTGGTATGCATGAATATTGATGAGAAGTTTGAAATTTGTTATTATCAGATGAAATGTTTCAGAGTTATTGCCCCTGACTTAGTAAAAACTAAAGTTTTTATACAATCTTGATGAAACTTGGTATGGGATCTTGGTCGAGTTTTAGATTGGAAATAATCGAATGAAAGGTTTTAGAGTTATTGTGACTATGTGTGCACTGATGAGACTTTGATGAACTGTTCATAGAAGTTTAGCCTTCACTTTTGATTATTTGAAAATTCATATTCAAGCCACTCAACACTTTATCATTTCTGACAGCTGGTCGTGTGCATATGTTACCCTGCCTGGAAAGCAGTCTTCATATATTGCTTGACTATGAAAATTACCTACATCACTTAAAAGCTCTCTATTGTTTTGGTTTTCTTTTCCGGAGAAAGATGATTATTAAGGTTTTGTCAAGGTAAAAATGCTGATAAAAATTTCCTAACTTGACCTTTATATTACTGTAGATTCTTTGAAAAATGTGAGATTAGACAGGAATATTAAGAAAGATGGATAGTCTTTGAAAAAAAAAAAAATTCTATTTTCACAGTCAGTGATTCACTTAAAGACTACTTATCAACTATCAAGAACAATGCATTTGATTGACCAGCTGTCTTGTCAATGGGTCAAACAACTGTATAGTCAATAAGCCCAATAACTCTATAGTCCTTAGGCACAACAACTCTATAGTCCTTAGGCACAACAACTCTATAGTCAATAGGCCCAATAACTCTATAGTCCTTAGGCACAACAACTCTATAATCCATAGGCCCAATAACTCTATAGTCCTTAGGCACGGCAACTCTATAGTCCTTAGGCACAATAACTCTATAGTCCATAGGCACAACAACTCTATAGTCAATAGGCCCAATAACTCTATAGTCCTTAGGCACAGCAACTCTATAGTCATAGACCCAAAAACTTCAATAGTCCATAGGAACTACAATTCTATAGTCCTAAGGCCCAATAACTCTATAGTCAATAGGTCCAATAAACTCTAATAGTCCATAGGCCCAATAACTCTATAGTCCTTAGGCACAACAACTCTATAGTCATAAGCCCAAAATCACTAATAGTCCATAGGCTCAATAACTCTTTAGTCCTTAAGCACAACAACTCTGTAGTCAATAGGCCCCACAACTCTATAGTCATAGGCCCAAAAACGTTGATAATCCATAGGCTAAAAAACTCTATAGTCTATAGGCACAACAACTCGGTAGTCATAGGCCCAAGCTCTAATTATCCATAGGCCGTACAATTCTATAGCCCTAAGGCACATTAACCCTATAGTCAATAGGCCCAACAACTCTATAGTCATAGGCCCAAAAACTCTAATAGTCCATAGGCTCTTTAACTCTATAATCCATAGGCTCAAAAACTCTATAGTCCATAGGCACAACAACTTCTTAGTCAATAGGCACAACTGTATAGTCAATAGACTCAACATCTGCATAGCCAATAGGCACAGCAACTCTATAGTCGAAGGGCACAAGTCCAACAACTATTCAGTATAGGTCCAAACTCTATAGTCCATATGCCCAATAACTGTATAGTCCATATTCCTAACTATCTATTGTGTAAACCATGATCACAACAACTATAGTCAATGGGCACAAGCCCAACAATTACTCGGTATATAGGTCCAACAGCTTTATAGTCAAAAGACCCAACAACAGCATATTTAATAGGCCCAACAACAGTATATTTAATAGGCCCAACAACAGCATATTTAATAGGCCCAATCGCAGTATAGTTAATAGGCCCAACAACAGTATAGTTAATAGGCCCAACAACAGCATAGTTAATAGGCCAAACAACAGCATAGTTAATAGGCACAACAACAGTATAGTTAATAGGCCCAACAACAGCATAGTTAATAGGCCCAACAACAGTATAGTTAATAGGCACAACAACAGCATAGTTAATAGGCCCAACACAGGATAGTTAATAGGCCCAACAATTGCCTTGTCAATAGGCCCAGCAACTGCATAGTATATATCCAAGAAATTTTATTCCATATTCCTAACAACTGTATTGTTAACTATGTTGTAACTTATACCAGTAATCTATTATTTTAGTTTAAACCAATGACCTATTTTGATGTTCAAATCATTTATATATGTTTTATTTTAATCCAGTTTACTATATAGCTTCATGCTTTGAACTATATTTTTGTATTTTTAAACAAGTGAAGTATATATTTATTAAACCCTGAAAATATTTTGTAGTTTAAAACAATTAACTATATTGTCTCCTTAAAAAGGGAACTATTGTATTGTAGTTTAATCAAGTGAACTGGATTTTAAGTTTTATATGAAAACAATTAATAATGTGTTTGCTGGCCTTGTTTTCTTTGACTATTTATTTAAGCATCCTGTTTATATGAAATACTTTTATTATTAAATCAATTTTTTTATTGACTGAAAAAAAAGAAGATGAAATGGGTAGCAAATAGGAAACTGCAGCACAGGTACGTAGCTACAGGGTGCCAATGACCTACTTCCCCTACCAGCCATTTTCTCAACAATATCTGGGTTATAACAATGTGCATTATGAGTTGGTGATAGACCCTTTAATATTCTCTATCAATTCACGCAAACTATGTTAAAATTACATGTCTGTCAGCAGCTCTTATGTGTATGTACCTGATGTGTATGTGTGAGGGGGGCAAGGGGTACAAATGCTCTCCACAGGATATAAACCCTCAGGAAATTTCAAAGGTACATACGTGAAAGATACTCTACATAGTCTCTATGCAGCCTATATTGCATCCCAGAGCTATTCCTTTGTTTGAAATGAAAGAATTTTTCGAGTGCTTTTTTCGCATCATAGGCATAGAAATCAATGCATCTCTCTCACGAGGGCTTAAGATTTTGGTTTTAATGGGGAGAAAAACCTTACCGTTGTAGATTGTTTACATATTATGCAATAATATGTGGAGGATTTGTGTAAATATGTTACGTCATTATTGTATGTGTATTCCCGAATTGTCTATATTTAGTAACTATATGTAATTTCCGTTTTTTACTTTCTACCGGAAGTAGAATATTGGGCTGAACTTGCTATACAAAGCCGTGCATGTTAATTTGGCCAATCATCAGTGATTCCAATGGGAATAGCAGATATCTCACTTTGCATGTGCAGTACGCAACATCGATAGGTATATGGGGTGGAACTTGGTAAGTTCCGCTCTGTAATCTTGGCCTATGGTAGTTACAACACTCCGATTTAAGTGTTAAGTCCGAAACGATTGGACTCGTTGTCTTAATTCATCCCCGGGATGGTTCTTCTTAACGAAACTGGTCACAGTCACGTGATATTAACAATCCGGAAGTTACGATGATGCCCAAAACTAGTCCGAAACATCTTCCACGATTTCAGCCTCTGACGAATCTGGTGGAAAACCCAGAATTGTATAGAAAAAAAAATCACAGGCATTCGTAAACTTAGTTATTTAAGATATGTTCAAGTGTATGGGCCTTTATAAACGTTTTAAGCAGCTTTTAACAATAAAATGGCGACATGACAAGTTCGAGACCCTTGTTAATTCATTATGATATCATATAATTGTTTTCATTCGATGTTAAAAATGTAAATCGTGGAAACGTTGTGTAAAATAAAACATTAAGAGTAGTATAACATAAAATTGTGATCCGTTAATTAGTTATATTAAGTTATTAAAGGGACGGATGCGCCATTTTTTTAATACTGTTATTGATCAAGTTTAAGAAGTTAAAGTTTATGTTTATTCTAAGTGGAAATACCTCTTTAACAGTAGCCATTCACTTCGCCCCCTTGTTCAATAAATAAGCAAAGTGCTGAAAGGAAACGTAAAATAAAGGCTTTGAAATGGATGAGTTACTTTTAAAGGGGAAATATGCAAAAAGATCATTATCAAAAACGTCGTTAATTATATCTGACAATATATTTCTAAAATATGCAATTAACATCTATGTATATCTACTTGATCAAACTGAATTTGTTTTAAGAGTTTTAATTTACTAATTGTTAATTAAGCAGTTTGAACTAGTTTTTGGTGTTTGGCTTTATGATGGCTCGATATTATTAGTTGAAACCTTTCGAATACAATACACAATGTCACAAGATAAAGGCCATGAAAGTAAACGGAAAAAACGAAAAAAAAAAAACAAACAAAAACGGAATGCCCTTTTCATAATAAGAGTTAAAGAACTGGATTGCAATATTGAAGTACTGACACTCAGTTGACAGAGGTGTCTTCAGTCTAAAGCAATAATATGAACAAAATGTTGGAAAATTTTCATTTACTTCTTGGTATGTTCCCTGGTAGGGATATGTCGAAAATGATATGTTTAAAATGATAATACCAAAATGATATGTAGAAAATGATATGTAGAAAATGATATGTTTAAAATGATAATACGAAAATGATATGTAGAAAATGATATGTTTAAAATGATAATACCAAAATGATAATACGAAAATGATATGTAGAAAATGATATGTAGAAAATGATATGTTTAAAATGATAATACCAAAATGATATGTAGAAAATGATATGTTTAAAATGATATTACCAAAATGATATGTAGAAAATGATATGTTTAAAATGATAATACCAAAATGATATGTAGAAAATGATATGTTTAAAATGATAATACCAAAATGATAATACCAAAATGATAATACTAAAATGATATGTAACCGTGTAATTAGTGAGGAAATGACAAGACACATTTGTTTTACCCTAATTACTAAAGCAATATGACAAAGTTGACGGCATCATAATAAGTATTAGACAATTTAACAGAGCATCTTATTTTGACCCAAAAACCCTTCCATACATTCGTGGCATTGCGTGAGTTACTCGATCTTTCTTCCAAACCAATTATGATCACAATTCTTTTTGGATGACAGTCTTATGATAGTCGTTTGCTCATGTTTAGTTTTCAACCACAGGAACATGTTCCCAAAAGACCTAAAAGACAAAATATGAGGATGTCGGCCTTTAATAATTCTATTGTAGCAGTACATTATGTGCTGTAAATAGTTGTTTAACACATTTTAAGAGACCATTTCCTCTCTCTCGTAGTTGTCATTATATTTATAAGCATGTCTATTGAAATAATATTGTTCTATTGTTGAAATAAATAGAGAACAATTTGAAAACTAAGACAAGATCCCTATCGGTGACAGTGTTATATCCATATTATCTATTATGAATGAATCAAAGAAAATACTTGATTTTCATAAAAAAAAAAAAAAAATTATTTTAAGTAATTGCTTGCCGAAATTTACAATTTAATTATTCGTAGATTGTTGTGATATATGTAAAGTTTGGCTAACGAATGAAGAACTTGGATCGCTAAAGGTGGTGGTCATGCCGCTTAAATCAAACTCAGAGTATATTTTTCATTTTTGATTCTGAAAAATAATACGGATAGTTGGAATGAAGTAGTTCTATGGTTGTATCAACCATAATGGGCAAAATAGTTTGAAATATTGAAAGTACTATCCAAACCCTGTGACTTTGGGTTCGATTCCAGCTCTCAAGGGATCTTTAAAGTACAGCAAAATAATTTTCCAGTTCACCAAGATGACGTACAGTGCACCGATTTAAATGTACTGAATCTATTAAGTTATTGTACACTGTATAATTATATGTCATTAAATATTTTCAATAAACATCATTAATAATTCAACGTTCAATATTTTTAATCGGAAATTAATGAGCGATGGCATCCTTAAAAGAATAATGTCTTTGTATGTATAACGAACACTTATAGCTTCTATTTACACCATTCTGATTTTCTAGTCTTTGTATGTATAACGAACACTTATAGCTTCTATTTACACCATTCTGATTTTCTAGTCTTTGTATGTATATCGAACACTTATAGTTTCTATTTACATCATTCTGATTTTCTAGTCTTTGTATGTGTATAACGAACACTTATAGCTTCTATTTACACCATTCTGATTTTCTAGTCTTTGTATGTGTATCAGAGACACTTATAGCTTCTATTTACACCATTCTGATTTTCTAGTCTTTGTATGTGTATCAGAGACACTTATAGCTTCTATTTACACCATTCTGATTTTCTAGTCTTTATATGTATATCAGAAGACACTTATAGCTTCTATTTACACCATTCTGATTTTCTAGTCTTTGTATGTATATCAGAAGACATTTATAGCTTCTATTAACACCATTCTGATTTTCTAGTCTTTGTATGTGTATCAGAGACACTTATAGCTTCTATTTACACCATTCTGATTTTCTAGTCTTTGTATGTGTATCAGAGACACTTATAGCTTCTATTTACACCATTCTGATTTTCTAGTCTTTGTATGTATATCAGAAGACATTTATAGCTTCTATTAACACCATTCTGATTTTCTAGTCTTTGTATGTGTATCAGAGACACTTATAGCTTCTATTAACACCATTCTGATTTTCTAGTCTTTGTATGTGTATCAGAGACACTTATAGCTTCTATTTACACCATTCTGATTTTCTAGTCTTTATATGTATATCAGAAGACACTTATAGCTTCTATTTACACCATTCTGATTTTCTAGTCTTTATATGTGTATCAGAGACACTTATAGCTTCTATTTACACCAATCTGATTTTCTAGTCTTTATATGTATATCAGAAGACACTTATAGCTTCTATTTACACCAATCTGATTTTCTAGTCTTTATATGTATATCAGAAGACATTTATAGCTTCTATTTACACCATTCTGATTTTCTAGTCTTTATATGTGTATCAGAGACACTTATAGCTTCTATTTACACCATTCTGATTTTCTAGTCTTTGTATGTCTATCAGAAGACATTTATAGCTTCTATTAACACCATTCTGATTTTCTAGTCTTTGTATGTATATCAGAGACATTTATAGCTTCTATTAACACCATTCTGATTTTCTAGTCTTTGTATGTGTATCAGAGACACTT